TTTTGTTTTTTTTTAAAGAATTCAGAAACAATATTTCTCAATAAAAAATTATGATCAAAAAATGCGTTATTTTTTGAATCTAGACGAGAACCTGCTAATTAAATTTGAAAAATATTGTTTGAAACTTGCAAAATATTGTCAAAAATGTGTCATTTTCTGTAAATTTTGTGTTTTTGTGAAAAAGAAAACCGCTCAAGAGTGTTGTAATTTTGCTAAAAAAAAATAGTAAACTACGAAAATTATATCTACAATGACAAAATTTTGGTTATTTTGAAAAGTTTAGAGCACTTTTTGCTCAAAAACTAATTAAATTTGAATCAGTTTGTCAACACAAAGTAGAAAATTTAAATAAATATACCGAAATTAAAGCTATTTAGTCATATTTTGGACGTTTTAATTTGTTTTTGAGTCACAAAATCTATTTTTTCGCGAAAGTTTGCTTAAACCTTTATTTTGGTCGATTTCGAGCGATTTACTAGTTTTTTTAAATCTTGTCAAACACAAAACAAAAATAAAAACAAAGAATTTTGTCTTGGTTTTGTATTACCAAGAATATTATTTTTTGATTAAAATTTAGTAAAAGAGTGGAAAACAGGTCAAACAAAGTTTTCATTTTAATTTATTGTTCTACCTTTGGGAGAGTTTCAAATTATTATCGATTTTAATTCGTTATTAATGGAAAAATGAAAGGACATAATTGATACATTTTTAATTAAATGAGGATTAATAGACTGATTTTTAACGTAACGTAAGTCTTTTGAATACTAATAAKAGTTTATAATTTAGTTACTACAATTTCGTTTTCAAAAACGGTTTTAGGTGAATAAAAGGCACATAAAGYCATTTCATTAGTTTATTTTGGTTTATTTAGACCAAAAAATTAAAGAGCTGGGCAATTTRTTCAACAAGAAATTGTTAAAATGCCTAATTTCTGCTTAGAGAATTTTTTACTAAGAAACTAATTAAATTTGAAAAATTACATTTTTAAAAACTAAACCCTTAAAAATATTATTATTATTATTATTATTAAATCTGTGTAATTTTGCCGAAAGAAGGCAGAAAAATGAAAAATTAAATCTGTTTTTTTATTTGTTTTCAAGAATTTAAAGCGTTTTTTTTAAGAAATTTAGTGTATTTTTCACCCAGCAACAATATTTCTCAATAACAAGTGTTGATGACAAAATGCGTTATTTTTTGTATCTAGACGAGAAACTACTAATTAAACTTGAAAAATATTGTTTGAAACTCGCAAAATATTGTCAAAAATGTGTTATTTTCTGTAAATTTTGTGTTTTTCAAAAAAAAAATGCTCAAAATTGTAACCAATTAAATTTGAAACAGATTGTTAAAACAAAGTAAAAAATTTAAATGACTATATCGAAATTAAAGCTATTTTGGACGTTTTAATTTGTTTTTGAGTAACAAAATCTATTTTTCGCGAAAGTTTGCTAAAATCCCTAATTTAGTCGATTTCGAGCGATTTACTTTTTTTTTTTAATCTTGTCAAAAACAAAACAAAAATCAAAACAAAGAATTTTGTCTTGGTTTTGTATTACCAAGAATATTATTTTTTGATCAAAATGTAGTAAAAGAGTGGAAAACAGCTCAAACAAACTTTTCATTTGAATTTTTTGTTCTACCTTTGGGAGAGTTTCAAATTATTATCGATTTTAATTCGTTATTAATGGAAAAGTGAAAGGACATAATTGATACATTTTTAATTAAATGAGGTTTAATAGGTTGATTTTTAACGTAACGAACTGTCTTTTAAATACTAATAAAAGTTCATAATTTTTATTTTATTTTATATTTTGTCTTAAACAAAATAAAACCTTGAAAGCAGTTTTTAATATTACTAAAATCATATATCAAATAATGAAAAAGAAGATGAAATAAATAGAGATTTATTTGTAACAAAGGAATGGCACAATAAATGATCACTCATAGGTCATAATTGTTAGCGCGGCATATTTCTCTTTGGCTTTCATTTTCTTGAGCTCATCAATCGATTTCCTAAATTCGTAGACATTCCCTTGCCT